AGAGGGATGAAGTTAAATTCGCTCCGTTATAGGGTGGAATTTAGGAAGGCATACTGCACACTAGTACCGGTACCCACACACTCATACTCATACTCATACCGCACACGCATACTGGGATAGGATGGGAAAAGGGGTGACTCGACCGGCCTAATGCCGATCGAGTGACTCGAGGAGCGTCGGGGCTCTGTACTTATACCCTCTCGGGGATCGACGGTTTGGGCAAAATGACGTCTGCGCAAAATGATTGGCCGATTCTTAGAAGGCTCGGCTTCTGATTTGCATATTCGTTTACTTCCGCATTTATCGATAATAGGGCAGGATTTTTTGGGTCATTCCAAAGGGAATGACCAATTGACCACTGACTTTAAGTACACACCCCCTAGGATTGGTCATCTGGTCATCCTGCCCGATTATCGATAAATGCGAGGTCTCATAAGGCTGCCACTCTTTAGTAATCTCTCCTCAGTGTCAAGATGGAATGAATCTCGGAACAGTAGTCTTCATTATCGATGAAGGAAAGGTTTGCTGGCTACGTGAGCGGACGTTTCTTCTGTAGATGGCAGAGAAATGACAATTCAAGACACATAACCTTGAGTGAACAGTAGTAAACAGATTTTTCAGCTGATTAATTTATTTTTAAAATGGGAAGATTGCATTGTTGATTCGTTGTTCAAAGTATTCACTTGATAAGTTAAGATCAGGATGAGACGCTGGTCATTATAACGTGAAAAGTGTTTTTAATCTGTATATTGAAAATTGTTACGTGCTTTCAATTACTAGAAAAATAATATATTTATTCCTATTGTTGTAAAAACGATAGTATAAGCATGTTTCGATATTGCGTTACGTCAAGCGCAACAATCGCGAATAGTACAGTGTTCAAATTAAGCATACGAAGGAAAAGTGCTTCTACAAAACGTAAAAGACAGTTAGCAAGCAATGAAGCAACAGAAGCAAGGCTAACATCACATGACACATCAGTTTGTAAAACTTCTGTAAATAATGCAACATCTATTGATTATACAGTACATGAACAAACTGATGAAAAGAATACTGCATTAAAAGGAAAATATTCAAACTTGTCATTGGTATCAGATATAGATGAATTGAAAACTACAAATAAGTTTAAACTAATGGAGAAATTACAATCATTTTCTATCTTTGGTTCTGAAGCAGCAGAAAGTGAAGGAATACAGTGTACTGAAGATAACGAAGATAAAACAAAACCCAGTATTCCAAGTGTAACATACATTCTCAATGAGACTATGTCTCTGAAAGCAAAGGCTGCTTTAGAATTATGGAAAAAGAACATCATTGATAAATTTGGAAAAGACTACTTCAGAATTTTCTGCAAAGGTAGAGCATTCACTGAATGCTAATTTGGAGTCTAACATGGATTGTTCTTTTAGGATTATTGGATGATGGTAAATTATTTCATTCATGTATACAGAACGTATTGTCGCATAAAGAATTTGAAATTCCGCCTCGCGTCAAATCGGCATATTTCAGCGTGGAACCAATATTAAATGATATACAAAATGTTTACAAACTTGAAACATACGTGACTCACCCAATTTTGCGATACAGAGGAATAGTAGACTGCATTGCTTCTTATAGGTATAGCAGAACTTTACTTTAACATCGCTAGGAGATGTATACTGTTTCAATCCAATAACTAGTCTGTATAATATATATTTGATTTTTAAAACGATACTTATTCAGGGATCAAGTGTACGTAATTGATTGGAAAAAGTCGGGTAAACAGAAGGCATCGCTGGCAGCAACGTTCGATGCACCCGTACAACTCGCCGCTTATATCGGAGCTATAAACGCTTCGAATGAGTACTCGTTCAGGGTATTTATTTCTTAGAATAATCTAGAGTAATGTTTTAGCTTAGCAGATTTATAAACGGTAAATACTATTGTAGATAGATAGGGGTTTGGTTGTCGTCGCTTATACAAACGGCGAACCCGCTAGCGTTCACGAGTTGAATAATAACACTTTACAAAAGGCATGGGAAGAATGGTTAAGAAGACTGGAATTGTTTTACAGGAAGTCGAATGAAGCAAACTGATACGCTTACTTTTATATTTAATTCTGTATTACAAAATACTCTAAATATTTTTTTATACAAATAAATAATTTATGTTGGATATTTTTATTACCGAATATAATTTAACTACTGACAACTGCGATAATCGTCGCCACACCTGTCCTACCAATTTAGCCGAGCAACGAAAGATGTCAAAAACGTTATTGCACACGCACGCGGTCGCTTCCCCACCTGTCTGCGTTGGTTAACATATAGCAATTATAACTTGACGGTAGCCGCCCTCGTGTAGGGCGCGACATTGCCCGACTCCCCGTTATAGGCCCTTATAAGCGCGATGCGCAACCCTTCGTATGACCCCTGGGAACCGTAAACTAATGGCGAAGCTATGTAGCGGAAACGTAGGCATCTTTCCTTGTGTTCTGGCATATTTGAATTTCAGAATAATTCTTGGCTATCTAGATTAGAGCACGGCATACGGCAGCAGAGTTAACACCGGGCCGGGCCGCGTCTGTCGGCGGACGCGGCGAAAACCGTGCTTACAAATAAGCTGATAACGAAACGACGCCGGATCCGCCGTGTTTTTCGCTGTTTAGCATTTAATCCATTCGTTCTTCCAACACGACGTAACATTTTGACGAAACTTCCGTGAGATAATGTCTCACGTTTTTATTATACACGGTTTTTGATTAAAACTCACAGATTTATCCACGTCCATTCTAGGATTGAAAAAAAAAAAAGGAATTTCTGTAGATTGTAAGAATTTCATCTCGGAATACATAACGCAACGCATAGCCTCGTAATGTTTCGCTGACATATTAGAGAGATAACAACGCGCTTGTATTGTATAAGATACACTTTTTACTTAGAGTTCAGAGATTCGTCTCTGCGCTCCACTTTAGAATTGGAACAAAAATTACCGTGGTCTCTCTAAGAATTTCATCTCGTGGATTAAAATTTAAGCGTAATTGACATTTCGTTCCCCGTTTCGAGATATATAAAAATGTTCGCTTGGTTTAAACGTTGTACGAATAAAGTTAGGAGAGGAAATTTTCTCGTTCGTGAAACATCAGAGTTTTTCAGTGGAAATTATGAAAAGTGTCCCGAGATTTACGTAGTCGCGTCGAGATAAGGAGGGGACTGCTCTTTTCATTTCTTCACGAAGGGTAGCAGTTCGGCCAACTCGTAACCACCAACCCGAACTCGCGATGAGTCGGAACGCTATCTTGTTCGTCGTCATCTCCGTTGCCAAGGATATAACACGAATTTGCTAAGAACAGCATATTTTTACCATTCTGCATACTTATGTCTCTTTCGGAAGGGTTGCTTGTCGTACATACTTTATACTTTCGTAAAGATTTACCCTTCAAGCTTATCTCTGAAGGCTTGTATTGAAACAGATAATAACTAGAATTAAATTTTTATCTATTTTTCTCCCTCACTGTGTTACGATACAAATTGGACAGTGTTATCAGTTTTACTAGATCCGATAAGCGCGTTTATCAGAATACTAATTTGTTTCGTATGCGGAAGAAGGAGGACCATTTTTTTTGGATTAGACGTTTAGCGAGTACGGAGTACGAGGCGATTCTAAATCTTCCGGCTAATCCTCGCTAATCCTCTCGTAACAGGGACATATTTTCATTGGTCGGTCAACCCCTGGCGTGAACTCCACCCTCCTTCAAAGGGATGAGTTATGAAAACGATAACTTCTGCGGAGGAAAGCCCTCGCGACTGTATCTGTCAAGCAAGCAACCAGCAGGGATTAACGAATTTATACGGAATCTTCGAAAAAGAAAAACTTATTCAGAATCATGTAAAGAATTCGTATTCAAAATGAGAATAGTAAAACATAAAAAATAAAGTACGTGCAAGGGGATTGTTAGCTTAAAGGAAAAATGAACCGTTTATATCGCGAACTTAAGGTGTGTCTGAATAAATAGGGCATAATTAAAAACATATCCAGTTGAGCCATTGTGAATTATCAACTTGCATAATAAGAATTATTATTGTTTTATTTATTTTTTTTTAAGAAAGGAATTACACATTTATTTGTCACTATACCTCACTCTTGCCATCGAAACTTAATTATAGTGTCACTTATCAGTTGATAAGGGGTAGTCGATCTGGGTCGTCGACCAAAACGAACCGATAGGATTCCTCGGTTGGTCCCGTTAGAATCAATTGAATTATTGACTGAAAGCATTATTAATGTACATATAGTGCACATACCAAAGAACAGATAACTGTCTTAAGCCCCATCTGTTTAAAATTATATATTTATCGATAATTATGCAAGATTATTTGGGCCATTTAAAATTGTGTAGTTAGTATCCCCACGGTTGGTCATTTGGTCAAGGAACGTGAAATAAAAATACCAAGATTTGTTATATTATATCATTCATTTATTAATCAAAAGTTATCAATTTTTACAATACATTACTGAATTTTCTACTATAGTCCTGGAAGTTTATTACTTGTGATCAGCTTAGAAATTTCATCTGGAAGTCGAGTTCCAGAAGGAACAGGAATACATCGTGGGTAAAAATTTGTACGCATCGCACTTGAGAAACCTCCCTTAAAACTTTCTTTCGCTTCTTGGGTGTTCGAGGGATTTGCCGTTTTAGTGGCTTTGAGAGGAACAGAAACGAGTTACGAATCAGGATCACAGAATAAGAAGGAGCATTATCTCTCTTTAGTAAGATACAATTTGAGCCTGAAAAATTTGTCTTAAATAGAAAAAAAATCATAGTGGAAGTATTAAAATTTTCAATATAAAAACTTCTTTTACACTTTGCAAATAATGATATCTATTTTATAATTATTTTTTGTTTATCCTTGCACAGTGCATTTTGTATATCTTTCTATGGATGCAGAAAACGCGCAGTTTAATAAAAGCATGTTATTTTGCGGTTCACGGTTAATTAGTCGGAAACAGTGGCAGGCGGTCGGTGTCCGTAATAAAATCATAGTCACGCGATACGTTCTCCCACGTCGGTTGGTTTCCGTCCAATCTACAAATAAATCAACGGTGGCCGTTTCCCAGTTAAACTTGTTCCCTGATAACGACAGCTCGACATGCGTTCATCGAATCGCCGCGATCAATAGTTCATCTCAAATGGATCATGCCCTATTAAACATTAATTATTATTTCTGCTCGGCGGGTTAATGAAAACAGACATCGTGTTCAGGAGATTGAATCAACTATGAACAACGATTTACGAATTCCTTACGTTGTCATTGACTTAATCGTGCCAACGGCAGTGGCCGCCGTTAATAGCTAGCCGAGTGTGAAGCGGAACTTTCTTCCTAGCCTCGTAATAACGCCGTCCACGTAGCGGTCGGGTCGGTGAAAGAAAGAAGCGACCCGGGCCAATCACGGCGAGGTCTCTCCAGCTTGAAAACTGGAACAGGCCTAGAATTAAGAAGTTTTCATCGAGCTGCTTTCAACACGACGCTCTTCTTTTGTGAATATTTCCCGTGGACGGTGGTCCACCGACCACTCAACCCGTCTCGGCGTCGCCGGTTGTCGATAAACTTCCGAAACTCGACGATGTTTAGACAACGGGCGACAATAGACGTCGGTGGTCGAAGAACCGGTAGACAGTCTTCTGTATGCCCGAATTAATCCTTTTCTAACGCGAGACACTTAGTCGCGCGTGAACTATCGATCGCCTCTTCGTTACGCTACATTTGCCTTCCGATGATAGTTAATAATCTGATGGCCAGCCTACAAAGGACCGAATTACTGGCCGGATGGAAAGCGGACGATCGGGCGCGAGAACCTCGTAAGCAAACGCGACATATAGGGTGTTAATGAATTACCCGTATTCTGGCCTATCGAGAGGAGAGAAAGCTCGCAATGATGGAAAGTAGCGAACGTGAGTTGAATAGTTTATTAACGGGAGATGTAAAGGTGAATATTTAAAAGAGACAATTTTGTAGAAGAATTATTTTAAATCATTATTAAAATTGCAGTAGGTTAAAGTAGGAACGAACGTCGCTTCAGTAAAACGTCAAACTATAGATCCGTATTGTATTTTATTCACTTGCTATTTTCCTGACTTGAATGTATTTACCTCGTGTACATTACCTTCTGTCTCTCACCGTGAGCGCAATTATCGAAAATTATCGACCTTTCTCGGTTGCGTTCAACTCCACGCCTGATCGGGTTCTACATGGTGCATAATTTAGAGGAAACACCGTGTCGGCTCATTAGGGAATGCATCTCCCATTCGAATTTATTATTAGCCACATATCGATCAGATTATTTATGTTGTTGTTTCGGAACATGTTAGTTACTCTATGTATGTATATCAGAGGAATATAACGAGAACTTTGTTACAATTTGTAATAGATACGAACTGTTTCAAACATTGGTACGAACATATTGGTACTTGTTGAAGATTTTCAAATATCAGAAATTATTATGAGAATTATATTCACACCTCTTTAAATTGGTTAAAGTTGCAGTTGATTTTTGATACAATAGAGGATTGTGAGAGCATTTAGAGGTTTGATCTGCGAACGATTATTACTTTTCGCTTTGACACTAAATTGAATTATTGGAAATTACTTGCTTCTTACGGTTCACGTGCTCATCACGTTGACGCAGACTAATCGTATGCGCTTGTATAGTTATAAAAATTGTCTCAGTTCATCTTGTAGTATAATATAGTGGAACATCTATTTAGTTGAACGCAATAAGTCACTTGAAATAAGTTACACCTTTCTCGTTTGGTCGTGGATGGAGAAAAATGGCGAGGGAAAAAGTTAAGTAGTTTCCGGAACTCTGACTTCTCTCTCACGACCGCTGCCTCTTGTCCACGAGCTCAATAATTCACTCGCCGTTTTCCTCAAAGAGAACTGCGTATTCTTTCTGTTACATAAATCAATTCCCCTCCGGTTTGAAATCATTAGTGGCGAATGGATTGGGAATACATACTTCGCGAGGTATTTCAACTATGAGAGAAATTAACCGGCGAACGCGCAGGCCTACGTAATGATGAAATTCATAGAATTTGATGAACTTATATGTACATTTGAATGATGTAGCAACGATGCGATTCATTCATGCTGTATTCATTTACAAAAATCAGTGAA